ATTTGTAAGCCTTATTCAACGGCTATATAACAATCATAGATGTCAGGTGATCCACAAGGAACCAGTTGAAGTGAAGACAGGAGTAAGTAAGTAAGGCTGTCTAATATCACTGATAATATTCTGTGGGGAGCGAGAAGACAAGAATATGCTGGACAGCTAAGAGAATGGACGATCTATGTCTAATGTGACACAGACTGGAAGTGTTACAGATGAAAACCGTCAAACTAGCAGCAGCCATAGGCAAGAAAGACATGACTTCAAGTAAACGTAGAGAAGACACAGGTGATGAAGATATGTAACTTTACACTTGACAATATGCAAGCGCAAACCAGCTGCAGGTGCTTCTATGACCATTTCAAAGCCAGGATTGGAAGGTCAAGGTTGAACTCCGTATGGAAATCTAATGCACTAAGAATAAGGAGTAAGATTCAGATTTTCGGTATAGGCATCAAAACGGTGCTTCTATTTGGTTCAGGGACTTGGTGCACACATTATGAAAAGCATTTTCACCAAGTGATGTATTCGCTTGGAACTGAAGATCAGATGGCCGTCTAGAAAAGATTAGCAACAAGGAAACAAACAAGAACCTATCGCACAATTAATAGCCATGTAGAAGGAAATGGGGATGAATAAGACACGCACTGCGGGAACCTCTGAATGAAATCATGCACCAGGCCCTCGAGTGGAAGCTAAATGGGAGACAATGAGTTAGACATGTATCTGAGGTTTACATGGAGGATATCGTGTGTAGATTTCCATATGGTCTACACATCGTTTAATTTAATGTGTTATTTACGAAGTTTCTTTGTATTTCATTGTTATCAAATCTAGATGTTTATATATTTATATGAGCTGTAATCAACATTTGACGGAATAGTTCCAAAATAACTGGACACCGAGTGAGAAATAGACATATGTAAAAATTATATTTGTAAAATCTCACCGAAACTAATATAAGTAACTCCAACGTTTCATTCGAAAAAACTGATCCTAACTTCTGTAGGGAAATTAATAAATATTAAAATTTTCAAAAGAATGGATAGTGAACAAAGAGTACTCTTTTCGATAAATTCATTATCAGGCTCTACAATTATGAATACATTATAGTGAATGAATGAATTAGTGTTATATACGACATTAATGTTGTTTAAATAACATCGAATCAATAATATTGATAGATTACAGCTGAATAGCATCAACATAAAATAAACTGAATGTCAGAAAAATTAGGAAAGATAATAGTACGAATTCATGAATTTATAGTCTCTGCTGAAGGCCAAGGCAGTAGTGCGGGCTAGACTTGCTTCTTTTGAACACAAAGCACTGGTTGTTTGAAGCGAATTGCAATAGCCTCCATTGTTATGAGTATGCGGTGCTTCAATGTTTTTGGCAATTTTTTAGGCAACCGGTAGATGACAGAGAAGGATTCTTCTACGCTGGCTTTATGGCCGGTTTGCACCAGATGGTCCAATGTCGAACTGTTAATGGTTTTAACTACACTTTTACTTAGCCATAGTGGAAGATATTCTCGAGCAAGCACGAAAAATCAAGTTCCTAGAGCGATGGCCAATATAACTCGCTCCACAAGCGCAGTTGGATTGGTAGATACCATTGGAAGTGGCTAGTCTAGGTACTTCATCTTTCAGTCGAGGAATCACCATCGGTTGTGTAGAGAATAAAACGTGTAGTTCGCCAGCATTAAAAGTTCTTTGAACTGATTTTCTTAATTTCTTCGTAATTATCTCACTTGAATTGCCACAAACAACCAGTGCTCTGTGTTCAAAAGAAGCAAGTCCAGCCCCTACTACTGCCCTGGCCGGCCTTCAGTAGAGACTATAAATTCGTGAATTTGTAATATCCTTCGTAATGTTTCTGACATTCAGCTTATTATCATGCTGATGCTATTGAACTGTAATCTATCAATACTATTGATTCGATGTTATTTAAACAACATTGATGTTGTTCATAACACTAATTCATTCATTCACTATAATGTATATATAAATGTAGAGCCTGATGAAGGGGAAGTTATCGAAAAGAGTAATCTTTGTTCAGTATCCATTCTTTTGAAAATTTTAATGGGCATTTTTAATTAGTTAAAATATTAAAATGTTTAAAACTGTATTGATCCTACCACAACATCTCCAGTTTATTTTGTAATATGAGCTTTGATGAATATTACTGACTTAGTAATGAAGTTAACAGATTAGCATTCACCACTCTCAGATCATATACTTGTTGAAATTGATCCTTATTTGTTGTTACAGTATTCATGCATTTGTACGTATTTAACCTTTAAAAAATTTGTATACGTAACAATGTTTGTCAAGTATTCAGCTGACTAGTCCTACTAAAATTTGTGAATTCATTAAATACTGCCTTTTTTCCACAGTTGTTGCTTCTTTTAAATTTTGAAGTATTGGTTTTGTAGGGATTTTGTTCGATTGGATGAAGGATTTCATCATGAGCTGACAGCAGTTAAAGAAATACTGGATACTCAGCTGGGGGTACCGGACATCTGTTTCCCCCGTCCTAGTTTGGGACCTCTCAGCAGTACCTACCCACCACCATGGCTCGAACCCAGGATCTGGTTACTAGGTCAGCTAGCTCGTAGACCATGAAGCCACTGGGACCTTATCCAGTGGCCTATGAATTCTGACTTTTTCCAATTCACGACATAGCACGACCACTTTGCAATGTCTTCTTCGATTAGTTACTGCGTCATCTTCAACCTGCTACATCCTACTGGTCACGGCTTCCCACTGGAACCTAGGTCTTTTGAATTTACTGCAGGAAAGAAATGTTTTCAATACCATGTTTATTTTAGACTGTCTTGATAAAGTCGAAGGGAACCCTCTAAATAAAGTGTGCACATTTGTGCTGAGAATTTCGCACCTCTTGCTTTGACAAATATAACTGAGACCACATATCTGGCTAATTATTGCCTCAGTTGAAGACACTTTGCAAGAATTCCTGAATTTATGCTTTTTGACGTTAGACTAGAGAGGACTGGTGCCAAGTCATAGAATTGAATCTGAATTAATAAAACCACGTATTTTAATCAAAGATGTTACTGGTGTGATTAATCAAGCTGATAGGCCCTAACAGACATGGAACTAAAGGTTCGTATCAAGAATTATCAAGAATTTAGAAGCGGATATTTTTCTGTCAGTTCCTTTATATGAGTAAGGAACTATGAACGTTTCAAAACGAATTTCTAACAGGTTGCAGACTTTCATTAACAGATGCCTTCTTAAGATAGTTAAGATCAGATAGCCAGGAGGAGGTGCGTCGGTGGCATAGTGGTTAGGACGCTCGCCGACCATGCACGTGGTCCGGGGTTCGATCCCCGACCGACGCACTCCTTTACCTCGCTGAGCAAGAAATAATGCTGGTGAAGAGGAAAGGTTGTGCATGAGGCTAGCAACCCCATACTGTAAAATAAACACTGCTACAGAAACTTCTAGCTACTAGCTTGAAGTCTTATGTTCCACTGGAGAACGTGAAGGAAAAAAAAGCCAGGAGGAATTAGTGACAAGAAACACTAAGAACAAACTAATCTAGAACCCAGTACACAACTGACAAATATTCCAAAGAAAATTGAGATAGATAGGACACACTCTGAGGAGGCCGTTGAGTGACATCACCTGCTAGGCCACAGCTCGAGTGGAACTCGAATAGGAAACGGTGAGTTTGGCGTCCAAGGGTGACATGGAGGAGATTACATGAGGAGCAGATGAAGTCTTATGGGAAATCCTGGAATCGGTCAAAAAGGACCGCAGAAAGTAGGACAAAGTGGAGACATGATGCTGAAGCCCTACATCCCACTCGGAACCCAAAGGAATAATCATATAACCATATTTTCGGGGGTTAGTTTTCAGGAATTTATTTTGCTTCAAGTTTGACCACGGATTGATATCAGCTAAGGGACTGTTGGACACCAGGGAGTGCTGGATAGATGTCTCGTCGTACTCAGGGACTCATCCACAGTATGCATCCACCGCCAATTTTCCAAACCAGGACCTTCTGGCTACAGGTCAAGCTCAAACCATTAAGCAGCTGGCACCCGACTGAGTGGCCCATGAAGTTGCCAGTAGTTCCAATTAGATATCGTGTCCAGTGGAGTTCCATCCACCTGGTAGTGAGGAAAAATACTAGCCAACGACATCGGCCTGTTGTCACTCTAAAATCATGAATTGGTAGAAGTTAGAATTAATGGGCTGGCTACTGAGTTAGCTCCCAGTGGCTGAATGGCCTACGACCTTGCCTTGTAATCAGAAGATCCTGAGCTCGAACCCCAGTGGGTAGGTAGTGCCAATGAGTCCCATACTAGGACAAAAAGTTGCCCAATGCTCTCTAAATGATGCCAATCCGTAGTTAAACTTAAAATACTATAGTGGTTTTCTGTGATGATTGTTTAACTTTGGGGAAATTTTGGTGATGTGGGGCTAGAAAAGCAATTATTATTATTTTTTGAATATATAACAAGAAATCTTAGCCTACACATTACTTCTGACATCCCTTTTACTGACACCTGTACAGAAAATCTACAATATACTAAACAGCTGTAATGTCATGAATTTAAGGTATCATTCTAAAATCTCAATGGTAAAACAGAAGTTCATATTTTTTTTTGTTTCTCCATATAGGCATCTTAGCAGACGCATCAGATTCGTTTATTCGCCTTTTCTTTGTCCAGTAAAGAAGATCAATAGCCTCTTTGTGTTGTTATCACCTGACTTATCCCTGATTGGCTAGTGTAGTATGTCTATCCAACGAATTTTGTTAGAAGTGCCCTATTAGGCTATCATCAGTGGTGCAAAAGTAGCAGATAACAAGCAGGGGGAAGGGGGAAGATTGTATTCCTAATAAAGAAACACGTAATATCCCAAACTAATAATCGATGAGATCAGTAACTTATAAATACACCACTTGATCGCTTCTGATTTTACAATTTTTTCTGTTTTACGATTAAATTCAAAAATCATTTCTTAGGACAAATGCATAGTTGTTTAACACTTGTGGATTATACATGGAAAGATAGTGAAGAAAGTGGGACATCTTCACCAAGATATCCAAATTATGATCATATTTATCGTCTTCGACGTACAGCTAGATCATTGGACGGCGGGGATACAGTCAATTGTTTATTGAATAATCAAGATGATCAAATGACCTCATCAAGTGAATCTAGTAGACAGTATCAAAGATACCTGAATGATCGATTAAATCATTCAATTGGAAAGATTACAAAACAAAATCAACATCGTCATCATAGTTCTATGCTGTTGTTGAATACACGTAGACTACCAATCTATGCTACATCGAAACGTTTAAGTAAAGGACCAGATCGTGTATGGGTACCAGTTGGACATTGTAGATATCTATTAGAACGTGATTTACGTACTGGTGAAATTAAATGGAGTCCTGAGGGGAATGAAATTCTCTGTACACCGAGGTAAGTGAAAAAGTTAATAAAATTAAATAAAATTAAATGATATTGATCTCATTCGCGGCGGTAAACACATTTGTATTATTTGTTATTAAAGGTAACTGATCATCCACATTTTGATTTAAACTGTGTTGGGAATGAGATGATAATAAATTGTCCTATAAGGTTCTTAGTATGAGACCGACGATTACAGTAAGCAAGGAGTGGAGTGTCATATACATTTATGGACCCCACTTAACATTTACATATTAATGCCACTTGCGAGGTAATGCACAAGGGAAAGCTCAGAGAAGCTTTCGAAGTGAAGATAGGAGTAAGATAAGGCTGCCTACTATCACCGATGATATTCCTCAATGCGGTGGTCTGGATTATACGGCACACTATGCGTGGGGAGTGAAAAGACGTGCATACGTCGATCCGACAAGATGAAGATCTGGACATCGCGGATGCTATATGTCCAGTGTCCCACGAAGAGGGAGAGATGACCAGAAAGATTTCAGGCGAAGATACAGAGGACAGAGGTGATGAAGGCACCTAACTAGCAATAACAAGTAACAATCACCATCAACGGAGGAAATCTAAAAGAAGTCGCCTCTTTAACTTAAATCATATTGGCAGCATCGTTTGAACTACAGGCAGCGGCATGGATGATGACGTCAAAGCTAGTCAGAATTGAAGACTGTGAGACAAAGCTTCACTACTCTGATAAGTTGGACGTCTGTCTGAGGGCTAGCTAAAAAGAAACTACAGGGAACAGAGTGAAATTGGGTTGTGTTACTGAAGCCTTATATACCACTTGGAACCCAAATTGACAATAATAATAATAATGTACTGCGGAAACTTTCTCACCTGGGCTGCAACACTACATTGCATTCTATTTCAAACTTTCTTCGTAATAGTAATCCTAACCGCATTCAGATTGTAAATTAAAGCAAGGATGAAAAATAATCGCAATAAAATCTAAGTCTGTCGTTTCTAACTGACTAACATTCAGGAGAGTGTAGTCATTGTTCAGAGTGATTCAGTTAACAGATGTCTGTATTCCCAGGAATTCCATATTGGATATTGAGTGACTCCGTTTCAAACATAATTTATTGTTCATAATCATATCAATCATATATAACTACACAACTTCGAGACTTCATTCATATAGTTCGCCTCCTTACTTCCCATTTGTCATAAAAGTAGTGGAATTTTCCAGATGTCGGGTAGAGGCGCTGAATCATTTCTGTTGCGCTTATTTTCAGTTGATTCGATAAATCAGGATTTTGTCATCGATCTCTCCTTTCACCCTTTTAACATCATATTTTAAGACTGTCATCTTATCCAATCGGTTTTTGTGCCCCACCGTCCCACCACTCTGATCTGTGTATTTCACGCAATAACCATTGGGAATATTGGATATGTTATTTTGTTTGATGGCATCCACAGGATTATTTAACTGCAATAATTTATTTCTAAGTATGTCTGTGGGTTTGAATGTCACTGTTAATAGTGCATTGTTAAGAATTTCGCGTGAGGTTTCAGAAGTTCCTTTCTCGTATAGAAGAACTACTAATGTTATAAATTTCCTATCACTGTTATTGTCAACTTACTGTGTATTCTTTCACGTAAATTGTCATTATTACTATTATCATTATCATCAATATTGTCAGTTTTGTTTTTACTATTTCCTACATACTTCTTGGCTAATTTACGAGGGTAATTATCAAGCTTCAAAGCCTCTCCAATATATCTTGCTTCCTTCCTTAAATTTTCATTGGCACTATTTAGTCCTTTTTTGCTATGTTACTTAAATATTCGAGCCCACAAACTCAATTACAGACAAACTTTGTCAGTTAAAAGAGCGTTGAACAGAACACTTTTTTTCCTTCACGTTCCCCAGTGGAACATAGGGCTTCAAGCTAGTGGCTTGGAGTTCATGTAGCAGTGTTTATTATATTACAGGAAGGGGTTGCTAGCCTCATGCCCAACTTTTCCTCTTTACCAGCATTATTTCTAGCTCAGCGAGGTAAAGGAGTGAGTCGGCTGGGGATCGAACCCCGGACCATGTGCATGATCGACGAGCGTCCCAACCTCTATAACACCGACGCACAACAAAACACTTTAGTTTATCTTATATCCTGCAATGATTGTCACGTCAAATAGCTAGGTGAGAGTAGCAGAACGGGATCAATCAGAGTAGTGCAGCGCAAAAACCTAGCGAGATCTAGAAGTCGTGACCAGTGAGATTCACCGTGTTAAAATGAAGTGGACGTTCACCGAAAGCATTGGTGAGAGCAGTGCTATATCATGAGCTGACAAAGTGAGAATTTAGGGGTCATTAAAATTAAACCCAATTGGTTCATTGGTCAACACGTTTGATCTCGTAAACTGGAGGCCATGGCTTTAATCCCTGGTAAGGTTGTGGGTGCACACCACCGAGGAGACCCAAAATAGGACGAAACAGTTGCCCAATGCTCCCTGATAAATCTTAATTCCTGACGAAAACCTAACAACTCTAATAAACCTAGATTAGTTGACCCTAATGAGATTAGAAATCTGGAGAATAGCTCAGCTATAATACTACATGCAGTTACACACAACCATACAACAGGATGGAATAAGATGACAGTTTTAAAATGTAATGTAAAAGGGTGGATGGAGAGATCGATGATGAAAGCCCTACTTATCTAATCAATTGAAAATAATTGCAACAGAAATGATTCAGCGCCTCTTCCCGACATCTGGAAAATTCTACTACCTTTATGACAAATGGGAAGTAAGCAGGCAAACTATAGGAATGAAGTCTCGAAGTTGTGTAGTTATATATGATTGATATGACAATGAACAATAAAATGTTTTAAACGTAGTCATCCAATAAATAATACTGTTCCACACAGTGTGTGGAATTACATGCTACCTTAATTGGGCGAGTATTACTCATAGATTAATTATTCTTAGTAACTTTATCTTGTTGTTAAAGCTATTTCAATGTTTATAAATTCTATTTATAAGGTTCGAAGTCATGATTACTAGGTTCGATCAAACTGGATTCTACTTTTTACTTGATGATTAGCAAAGTAATTCAGAAAACATGTATCGTCCTTTCTGATACTTATCAACTACATATACTTACACCTCATTGAGTCATCCCCGTAATGCACATTGAAACATGCCGCCTGTATTATACTACTAGTCTGGATCAAACACAATTAATGTCATACTGCAAGACAATGGAGACTAATTTAAATGCTGAAAAAGTCAAGTTTAAAGTCTTCCTTCTCATAGTTAGTACTTTAATTGATGTCATAAGGCATCTGCTGTTAAGAATAGATGTATATAAATTATCAGGATATTTACTTCGCAGAAAACAAAATATGTATCGACCAAAAGATTGATACACAAAGAGTTCTGAAATCGACTGCTTGCAGTGCTACCCTTCTGAAACACAATAAAAATTATAGTTCTTTAGATTCTGGTTTGCAAAGATTTGACTGGTTTCAAATTTAGTGATGAAATGAGTTCATTTAGAGAATCACTGAAAGCCACAGACAGATGTTTCGTTTCACTTTGAGGTTCTTCACTGTATGCACCACTCATTCCACCGGTAGGGAACGGACCTAGGACCTTCAGGTTACAAAGCAAGTTCGTTAATTATTCAGCCACTAGAGTGGAATCCAATCAAATCAGTACTAACTTCCGACTAATCGTGATATTGAGTGTGACCGCCATCTAATATCATCAGTGAATATTTGTCCCCACATCAAACTCGATGAAACCCTGTAGTCATGACTTCCCATTATAACTTCAAGCAACTCCATCTTGTAGTCAGTCACTATTAATATATCACTAGAATAATCCTCAAGTGTTGGTTTGCAGAAATTTTACTGACTTCAAGACTAATCACGAACCGTGTAACCTGAAGCTTCCCAGTTTGAACCCTGGCGGGATCATGGGTGCTTGTTGCTAGGATGCATCAAATAAAGACAGCAGAAGCAGAAATACTCCAATACTTACTGGCTTTTCTGTGGTTCTCTGACTGAAATTATATCGTGATCAATTTTGAAAAATAATGACATTTAATCGAAAATCGGAATAAGGAAAGTGATAAAGGAAATTATTGCTCATTCTATTGTTCCCTTGGGTTCCGAGTGAAACATATGGTATCAACAGCAAGACTTCAATTCGTCCTATTCTCTGTGATCTTTACCTGGCCACATGGTTGCTCATGGTACCTCATTTCTTCCCCACACAGACTCCTCCATGTCACCCTCGGACACACTCCCAACTCGTTGTTTTTCCATTCGGGTTCCCCTCGAGCTGTGTCATGGCGCGCGATGTCATTCAACGGTCTTCTAAGCGTGTTTTTGATCCACCCTCATGTTCTCCGACATAATTGTCGACTAATAGGTTGTTGGTTGGTTCGTTTCGAGAGTTTCTAGTAGCTGATTCTTTCCGGTCACCTGATCATCAGTAAGGAGTGGAGGTAACTGTTGATAAAATTCTGCAGTGACCTTCTGGAAATGCTTTCCGTGATGCACCAAGTTGTAAACGCATACTGAAGGACTGACAACCCTGGTGCTCAAAGGCCGACGTCTGTAGTTTATGCTGCAGAGTGATGCGGATTTCCAAACTGATTTTAGGTTGATGAAGGCATATCTTTCTTTTCCGATTCTGGATTTGACATCTTGGTCGGTTCTTTCGCCTGTAGCTGAAAGGATGCTACTTAGGTAACTGAAGGAATTGATCTGTCTCACTGATAGCCACCAGTGCTTGTTATTGTGGTTAGGGGGTTACTTTCATAACCTTCGTTGCCTCCATGTTCCCCTGAAGTCCTGTCTTTGCTGCCTACCTCTGCTGCCAGATTTTTGGTTTTTGCCTGAAAGTCTTAGAGTTTGTGTGGTATTAGACATAAATCATTCCCCAAATCCATGTCTTCTTCAGATTTCTTATTGGTCCAACGTTCCCACAGTCTAACGCATAATCCCTTCCACCATAATTCAGAATATCATATATGACAATAGGCAACCTTGTCTTACCTCTGCATTCACTTCAAATGACTCGTTTAGTTTCGTATCGTGAAAATAATTGACATGTGGCACTGTCAAATAGCTGTTGAATGAGGTTAACAAAATTTGAGGCACTGCATGCCATACTGTTGAAGTAGTTTCTAAATTACTTCTCAGTCAACTCTGTTGAAGACCTTTTCGAAGTCAATGAGATTAAGGTAGGGGTTTGACTGCCATTCTTTGCTTTGTTCTGCGATGATGATTCGTAGAGGCGCGATTCGATCTGCAGATATTTTTGCCTTTCCTGAATCCAGCCTGTTCCGGTGGGTGGAGTTCTGTATCCAGTGCATCTTTTATTCTCTCCGGTATGATGCGACTTAGCATTTTACTTGGCATGGACAACAGCATTATTCCACAACAGTTCTTGCAGAGGCCTAATTAGGTCACCTTTCTTGGCAGCTTGACAAAGTAGCCTTTCTTCCAATAGGTAGGCTCCTCTCCTTCCTTATAAACCTTTTGCAGTAGTGGCGTGAGCACATCTACCCCAGTCTTCAGGTCTGTTTTCAGTGCTTTTGTAGGAACTCCATCTGGTCCTGCTGCCTTCTCCGCTGGCCTTCAGTAGCTTGATCGCATACAGGACTTCTGCTTTCGTTGGAAGGTTGGTGTCCACTGGCAGGCATTTCTGTGAGTGCTATTGGTGGCGGTGTATTTCTAGGCGAGTTTCAGGTGATGGGCGATTCAAGAATCTTTTGAAGTGATCAGCCCATTGTGTTATTTGTTCCTCCCTCTAGGTAATCAGGTTCCCAGGACCATCTTTTGTAAGTTTTGTCTGCGTCGATCTCCTCCCAAATAGAGACCTGGTTTGATGGTATGACGTTCCGAGGCCTCTTTTATCTCAGTCTGTTCTGCTTCCATTGCCAGTGTGTCTTTCCTTTATAGTGGGCTTTTATTGATCAAGTTAATGAACTTCATTTTGGGATATGAGCTGCTTGTATTTAAATCTTGATATTATCCCAAACTTCGAGCTGCCAAACAGTGAAGCTGTATAGCTCACAGTTGCTCAATGCAAATCTGTTTTGAAGTCAGTTACTTGAAAGTTGTATTTCGGTGGAAATTATAGTTTAGTGGATTCTAACTGACTAAATTTAAAGCTTGAATCTTTGTAAGTTCGCAAATGTGTCCTACTTGCGTCTCAGCAGTTTTCCATTGCACATGGGCCCATAAGACTCATCTCCTTACGAATTTAAAATCATTATTTCTCATTCCTTTGGTTCCTAGTGAAACACAGAACTTCAGAAAGACACTGCCATTCCACTCTGTTCTCTTAAATTCTCCTCGACTGCCTCTACAACAGCCGATAAGAGTGCATTTCCTCTTCACATGATCTCCTTTATGTTACCCTAGAATCTATGCATAACTCTTCTTTCTCAACTTTATGGTTCTACCTGACTGGCGTATGATTTCATTTGAAGGTCTGTCTCAATGTATGTTCAGTGTATCTCCATTTCCTTCCACATATTTGTTAAGCAATAGATGATTAGTTGGTTCGCTGCACTGCAAGAGTCCTTTTCAGCCGGCATTCTGACCTCCATTATTCAGCAAAGGCATGGGCTGATGAAAGTTCGAAATAACCTGTTTCCCGTGACCCACCTAGCCTCTGAACCATACAGAGGCACTGACCTAAAGGGAGTGCTTTGAATTTCGTATTTTGTTTCTTATGCTCAGTGCAGTAGATTATCACACTGACTTCAAAGTAATTAAGGTCTGTCTTGCTTTTCTGATCTGTTTTTGGTCTTGACATCCTCATACGCTCCGCCACCCGTAGCATGAATAATGTTGCCTGTCTAGATAAGCGGAAGAAACGAGTTTTTTCCTAGATTTCCTCAGCTGACTGTGGTTCGTGGTTGTTGTCTGTGTTGTTACTGCTTGGGTATCTTTATTACTTCTTCTCTTTTGACTGCCTCTTCTGCGCTTTCTTTGTTCGAAACGGTATCATTAAACAATAGTGTATAACCCTGTGAGATTTTATCAAATAAATTTATCCTATGATGGGATTTTACTCTACCACAGTGCCTAAGGCTTATACGTGTATCGCTTCTGTCAACTTTGTTGGTTTTCGCTTGTATATCAGTGGGTTAGTTCAACATTAAGCGTTAAGCAAATCATCTGTGTGGCTAAACCATTGTCTGTTCACTCTATACTCTGTTCTTCTCAGTATGTACGCTGGAGTCATATTTTTTAAATTATTGTTCTATTTCCGCCCTACAAATAACTTACAATATCAATATATTAGTATAATTTAATGTTGTTTTATACTCTTTTTTTATTCAAAACAGAAGTTTAGCTGAAATCTGCATGGCACGCTTAATTCGTGATTGGCCGTGTATGCTACCTCCACGACGTTCATCACTACGTAATATGGTCAGTTTTTTATTCAGCTCTCGTGATATACAATCGAATTCATCAAGAAATATGCCATTAAATGAGCTATCGAATTCAGCTGGAACTGCCACTGCTAATAACACCGTGACTTCAAGAACCTCACCACCACCAACATCAACACCACCGTCATCGTCGACATCGTCAGGTGTAAGACGATCTGCAAGTGTATCATCAGGTCGTTATACGTATAAAAATGATAAATTTAAGTCTAAGGATGCAAAAATTGACGAAAAAGACTGTCAAACAGATAACAATAAAAGAAATGCCGTGAAATTGATCGATACAACCCCTTTAACATGTAATGATCTACCTGTTACTGTGTTAATTAGCCTCATATCTGAAGCTATCCTACAAAGAGACTGTGCTGCAATCACTGGGCTAGTTGCTAATTGGCCTGCAGAAAGCCTAATCGTCAAACAGTTAATCCCAGCTGAAGAATATCCATTGATACCAAATTATATGACTAAGCCAACATTTGTACTTGTCAGTTCAGAGAATGAAATGCTCAGCCGCAATGCCCTGGTCAAAGGACCCAGTCTACTAGATGCTTTCATATTAGGCATGTTAACTAGACAACCGAAATGTAAATTGAAATCTATTGATTTCACTGGATTTGAAGAAGGTAAATTACTATTATTTTTTATTTTTTTCATTACAGAAAAAATCCCCATTTAGACATTTAGAAAACAGAAAGACTGAGCGAAGAAATATTTATTTTTCAATTAGATCCTCATCTCTGGCTATACTTTAATATATATATATATAGCATTTTTATTACAATATATAACAATTTACATTCAAGAAATAAGGATAAACTACTTAAATTTGCCTCCTGCTCTATGTGTATCTACCAGTTTGACTGCAGCTGCGGAGTCAGCTATATCGGGCGTACAATTAGGCAGGTTCATCATCGTATTTCCGAACATCATCCTGCAGCATGATTAAGCAAGGGACACACAAGATCTATTCGTTGCTCTATTTTAGCACACCTTGTAGATACTGAGCATAAGGTTGATGTGAATACTGCATTTAAAATTATTTATCGCATTCCGACTTATCGTAACTTTGCTCTACGAGTTCGTCTTCTACAGACAGCTGAAGCAATAGGAATCCACCTGAAGAAGTCAAAACTGTGTGTTCAAAAGAAATTTGTACAGCCACTTTCTTTACCTTAGCCGTCGTTCCATGAATGTATGAACCGGACTAATTCGACCCGCTCCCCCACCCTAAACCTTTAAAGATTATAAAAATTATAACTGTCCGAATTATTTTATTCTTATGACCACTTCAGCCTTAGTTACAAATTATCATTGTCCAAATCGTTTTATTTTCTTTAATAATCTGTTACGTAATCAATCTGTGCACACGCTTATTCCTTTAATTAATCTTCATTTTCCAAAATTATGCATTATGCAATCCACGTATTTGAACCATTTCTTCCATTTAATTGTGTATATTAATTTTCTTCGTTAATTTCCACCCCATTGACATGTTGACACTGACTAATTATTGTCTAACAAACATATCACCACTTGATTGGTAAATTGTTGTGTATTGTGATGAAAAATGCTGTATGTATTAGAGTAGAGCCAGAGATAAGGATCTAATTGAAAAGTAAATATTCCTTCCCTCAATCTTTCTGTTTTCTAATTTTTTCACTATAAAATGACACTTATGAATGTCTAGATAACCTATTTTTCGATTCCTTTATCTTCCTAATGGAACATTGGGCTTCACACTTTTAGTTTTTAAGTTTCAGTAGAGTTGATTTTGTTCATCTCTACATGGTGAGGTTGCTGGACTCAATACCGACCGTTCCACTTTTCCAGGTTTACTGCCGACTGCTAAAGTGAGTGACGTTTTAGGAGTGTTCACTGGTCGGGAATCGAATCCGTTACATTTACACGTCTGGTGAGCGTTCTGCCGTTGAGCCACTCTATATAGTTTGTGCAGTTCCAGGAGATTTCGACCTCCAGACCAGATTGAATCATGATCCACCTTAGTTCGGATCAAACTTTTAATTTTATTTCGCTGACTATTTGAATATGTTTATATTTTTTATAATTCCTGTGGGTTTCGAGTGGAAGATGCAGCTTCCACAGTAAATCACCATTTCATCATGTTCTGCACATTCCTTTATTGTTGACTCTACGATTACCTTTAAGCTTTCACCTCGTACTCACGCAATTCTAATCACTGTCAATCTCGGACGCCCAACTTGTTATTGCCCGTTCGGGTTCCACTTTATGAGTTACCTGGCTCGTGATTCCAATCAACGGCCTTCTAAATTTTAGTCCAACCCACCTCCATTTTCTTCTTCAGATAATAGATTCTAGACTGGTTAGTTATCAGAGTTACTAGTTGTTCACTGGTTCTGACGATCCACGTGATCTTCAGTATGGAGCAGAGACAGCTGTTAGTAAAAGTCTGAAGTGACCTGTATAAAATGCTTTTTGTTTGAACCATATAAGACTATTTCAATACACATAGGTAAATATAAGTACTGGTTTGAGACTAAGATTTCTGTACTCTTTTTCAAGAAGCTACACTTTAGATAACGAAACATTCAAGAATATCTTATTTTGAATTCCTGAACACTTCTGCATTACTTCAAATAAATTTGACAGGTTAGAAATAATTGAGGGACTTTTAAGAGTTAATGAACACAATACAAATCTATCACACATTCATTACTTGTCTGGTAGTGGTCAGTAGTGGAATCAAAGATGTGAGATTCATCCTATTTGGGACCAGCCAGTTACAGTTACCTGCATCTGTCATTTTCTATACTCTGTAGCATTATATACTAGGCCAGTATGCCGCAAAGCTGATGAGTCTTTAATAGGGTGAAACACACTCATCCTCGATTCCATTGCTAGCCACCACTAATCAAATGACATCCGATTTATCTCAAGCAACCGTATTTCTTTTGATAATTAAAACATAAAAAACAGATATACTACTAACTGATATCAGTAGCTGGACAATATTCACATCAAAGTGATTTAAACACCGATCAATGAGATAAGAATAAAACTTGGGCACTGTGGTAGAGTGTAATTCCATTATGGGTAAATTTTATTTTGTGATTTATTTATTTTATTTCGTGTGATTACCATGATATGATTATGAGCAATAAATTGTACTCGAAACGTCATCAGTAAATATTACTGTATAACACTGTGAGACTCTATCAAAATAAAATTTACCCATAATGGAATTACACTCTACCACAGTGCCCAAGTTTTATTCTTATATCAATGATACTTATGGTCTTCCTACCAGGAAGCTTATCAAAAAACTCACACGACTTCGTCAAACTGAAGCAAGATTCACAAATCATGGGATTTTTAACAGTCGATGTTTAAAAAATCATATAATTCCGAAATATTTATGTCTACGTACTCCAATCACTTCAAGTAAAATAACATCAGCTGCCGCAAATGTCAGTAGATTATATCTAAGAGAAGAATTACATCGAGTTACTGTGAAACTAAATAATATACGAAATGAAATTGAAAAACTCAAATATATGACCAATGACAAAGATTATACAATTATTCTTGAAACATCCAGAAAAGCTAGAGAATCTGCATTAAGAAAATCAAAAAACACACAAATCAAAAAATTCAACAAACTTATTAAAGAAAAGAACACAGCAAATGAAACTGATGTCAATGCTTCATCCTCTATCGACAAAACAAAGTGGGTGTAGGTGTGATTACCTTGATATGATTATGAGCGGTAATAAATTGTGCTCGAAACGTCACCACTAAATATTACTGTATAACACTGTGAGACTCTATCAAAATAAAATTTACCCATAATGGAACCGATCAATGAGCCTTCTCTTCCTAGGCCAAGCTGATCAGTAGTATATGTGAAAGGACTTAGTTCAAAGCTGATTGCCATTAATGATGTCAGACAGACCACATTCTGTTTACTAAATAGTTTTAGTTTTCAAAGGAAACCATGGTAATTTGAAAAAATGACACATATATACTTCATTAAATTACACTTTGAATAGATACTTCAATAAGTGGAGCGATGTTCCATCGAATTACTCGTACAGAATACAAATGAAACTTTAACATGTTATTCTTTCTTTCTTTCTTTCTCTCTTGTAACCGCATGATAGATTGTCGTGTAAGTATTGAACTATCTCGTCTACCAATTTTATGGATGAAACCAGAGAATCGTAATTCAGAAAGTGTACGTAAACACCTAATGGCTAGTTTGCATATTGGTATACCGAAAAGACGTCTTGAAGCATATTTTTCTAGAATATCAACTATATATGCCTATCATGAAGCAGATATTGGACATGGTGAACAATTTGGTAAGTTAAATTTAATTCTTTTCTTTTGTGCATTTTTTATTAAGTTTTTGTCTGATTTGAAGGGAGATGTCATCCCAAACTGACTTTAGCGAGATAATCAGTTAAAAACCAAGGAGTAATGGTCCAAGACTCCTCACCAGCCTTGACCCGTGACCCTAAAATGGATGGGATTCAAAACCTTCAGTTTATGAGGTCAGCATGATACTACAACGCTATTCAGTCTCAATCCAATGATTCATGTATTCTGACTTCCACCAATTGCTGGTAGATACAGCGTCACCATTAACCGATGTTATCGGCCATTATCGACCTCCTCTCTTGTGGGTCCCAAAGTAGGACTATACCCCATATTTACTAGCCCTTTTTTGCAGCAGATGTTGACTTTTGATCAGACCAACATTTCTAATGAAATATGTCATAATTTCGTGCATTCATGAAAGTTAAAATGTTTTATGAAAGAAATTTATTCAAAAAATTGTTCACATCAGTGGCTGGAAAAATCAATTCACAAAAAACAACAGATTAGGTGTTACAAACAAACTATATCCATTGCAGTATGGATACCCGAATTATATCTTAAGCTCTCATATGTCTGTCTGTCTGGATTCAACACAGAACTTGGCACCGAAGTGCAGCAGTTCGAGTTGCCACGTTCCAAATACCACACAAAGGTAGACAAGAAAATGAGTGAAGAGAATCAATAGAGTTTTGACAAGTATAAGAGTGAAACAGAATGAGTAATGGCAGAAAGGAATATGGGACTGAATATTACAGAGACTGAATACATCTGCGCCATTGACAACAATTTTGAGCCATGTCACCTATTGTCTCCAGCCATTGATTCTTAGAGTCCCGAGGGCCCCAACCCGGAAGTCTGCATCTCCCTACCTGACTCAGTTTAACTGTAATATACAATTATTATGATCGGAAATTTGGGATAACAGACTACTGAAGGTGACTGATACATCTAACCGATATTACAGTTGATTGAGTAATATAAAATTAGATAACAGACTGTAATGTGGTCATCAGTGTTCTTGAGAGGAACCTTTAATTTAAAGATGAATTTTAAATTGAAGCTTAACCTGCCTTTGAAATTTATCAAAGGTGACTTTATTTGTCTAACTGACTAGACAAATAATAGAACTGGGGTCATGACACCCAGTAAAGTATTTACTTCATTGTCAATCTCAGTACCTCATTACACCTTTAGAATGCGTCTTTAAGAAGGCTTGTGGTGAGTTATGAACCGATGGTCCATCTCCTGGCGGTGGCGAGTGGGGTACGTCCGGTCGGGAGTGAGGATAAATAATTCTCGATGATATTGGCTAGGGGTAGCGCTAAAATCCCAAATTGGTGGGAGCTAGAATTCATGAGCTATTGGCTGAGTGGTCTACGAGCTTGAATTATAACCTGAAGGTACTGGGTTCGGACCTCATTGGGTGCCTACTGCCAATGAGTCTGTCCAGTACTCCCTGGTTTTCAACGTTTCTCTAACTGATATCAATCCATGGCTAAACTGGAATTTATGAATCAGTCCATTCATCAAATGTGAACACTCATCAACTAAGGAACGGTTTCGAAATCCTACAGAAAATTTTTATGTCCATCTCCTCGATAGCTGGAGGCCAAGGGATCTTCATCCGGTTGGAGGAAGTGACACCAAATGTAACGGCAATACACAATAGTATTCAGTAGGATAATTGATAATCGATCTAAATGACCTAAAGTTATGGCGAAATTAATTCGTGTTTTGCTCCTTTCATCCTCATTTCATGCTTTCTGTATTGTATCACTAGGATTTTTAATTTCTACACCTTAATCCTTCACTTCACCATTCAATATTCTTATAGAAGACATCCGACACACAATACGCTATATACGAATTCTTGTTCGTAGTACACAGACATACATCAAAGATGCCACTTCAAATTCCACATGTTCAAAAATCACTTAAGTTCTAGAGCGAAATTGTTTGAAAAGTCTTGGACAATCTAAAACAAACATGTGAAAACTCTTTCATCATATTTTGTCTGTAGTAACTTGAACTTGCACAGAATTAAAAATATATCAAATATAATAAAACCACGAAGTTAGAATTAATGGGCCGGCCACAGGATTCCATCCCAGTGGCTGAATCGTCAACGACTCGGCTTCCAACCTGAAGGTTCTAGGTCCAGTGCTAAAAGAGGTCATAGGTATGTACTGCTGATGATTCCAAAACTATCCACTACTCCCTGTTTTTCACTAGTTCGTTGACTGAAATCACTCAAAGATCAAAACTGCAGAGAATCCCACAAGTAATGTTATTAAATAGATCTATGAATAAATATTTCTAAAGTCACTAGTCTTATTCATCAGGTCACTGTCAACACAATTAGTTTATAACAATAGCTTTATTCGATGATATTAGATAGTTGGAGGCAATCGGCCACAGGAAGCCTGGCTTGACCTAGGTTTCGTGGTAGTTGGCACTCACCAGTCAGCAAGGCGTATCTCCCACATCTAAGGAACTCACTTCCCTTCTGAGATTCGAACCCACGTCACCCGGTGCTGCCTGCAGTCAGAGACGTTACTACTGAGCTATTCGGCGTCGCGACTGACCTCCTGTAGGACTTTAGTGGGTGTTTTGATTGGGCACTAGTAACTAGTGTGATGTGTCTAGTCCTTGCTGTTTTGTGCAGACTGAATTCTATCAGTTAGGTTTGCAATATGGCCACCATTCCAAACAATACATTCAATATAGTTATGAGGAGAGTTACTTACCTATGATGCTAAGTGGTAGTCACGTCAAATTATAAACTGGAAGAAATTAGGAATTAGAAATCACTGAATTCCTAATCAGTAGGTGAATGGTAATGTGAACACCCTGAAAATCTTAAGATTCATGACAACACCACATAGTAGATGGCGGATTCGAACTCTCATTCGATCACTAATGAAAACCACATTTACGACTTGAAGTCAATCTAATAACTAGCACAGGAAATCAGTGGACAAAGAACTTCCTTCAATGTTCAATGCGTTACAGAAATCCATTGAAATTTAAGCATCAATTTAAAACAACAAACGTCATACCTTAGTGAAGCAGTAATGTATCATGTTTCTGCATTCAATCTAAACAAAAAAAATAAGAAACATGTAACACATGATTACTAAAAAATCTCTTTGAGATACTTCAGGTTATAATGATCCCTTTGTGACTAGTGTATGCGATTGACTCGCTTCTTCCACCATGTAACTATAAGAGGAAAAAACACAAAATAGAATAATAAAAATTAATGAATTACTTACAAAATATTGAGAGAAAACAGATGAAGGAATTAACTGTTGTAATTATAGTTATATGTTATGCTAACTTTTGGACAATGTACAATTAATTATACATAAAATTTGCTTTGTTTCTTTGTTTGAAAATGGTAGCAATCAGTCATTTGTTCATTTGTTCAATGTTTGTAGTGGGAAATTTAAACTAGATAAACAGATGTAAATGTACATATAATAATAATAATTTGTGTGTATTGACAGAATAATGTAATAAATACTAGAATTTTACAATGGGAAAGACAGTAAAAGAATGTTTAGTTGACTAATATATACATATATATATAGTGCTGAATAAGTTGGGAAGGATTTACTGTTCATTCCGATGGTTTCACGAAAAAAGCAAAAGAATTCGTTTCAGCAATAAATCAGTGATGACATGAGAAAGTGAAAAGCCATTCAAAAATGTAAAGTAACTTCTTTTTTCCTGTCATTAGAGTGTTATAATTACCGCAGTTGGTTGATACTGAACTGCTTAAGGAAACTGAAATACGATGGACGATTTACTACTTCATGTTATTCATTAGTTGCGTTCCAAATATAAAGTTAGGCTTCAATGGTACATCTCCATTGCACTCCCTTCTCCGCAATCACTATCAGCTGGCTCTACGATTTCCCACAAGCCTTCATTTGTTCCTCACATAACCTTTTCTGTGTCCCTCTCAGACTCTCTGCTCATGACTTCCCTTTCGGGCTCCACTTAATGGCCTGCCTGGAGTGTGATGTTACTTCGACATCTCGTGAAAGTTTGTCCAGTCCACCTCCTTTTCCTGCAGCATTCTTCTTGGGGTAATGACTGTTTTACTGCACTGCCGGAATTCTTTATCGCTTAGCTTTTGTGGCTGGTTATCTGATTTTCAGGATTAATAGCTTAACGCACATATGCCATAATCCAAAAAAGTGGATTAAAAATATTAAGTAGCCGGCATTTTTGTCCGTGAAAGTTGACTATTAGGTGACAATTTTGATAAACATTTCATCACAAATCAAAATAAGTTACAACACCACAGTCATGATAATATCTACCTTAAAATCTAATGAAACCCCCACAATATCTCCGCTAATGAATGTTTCCTCTTCTCAATGGCTTATTAAGGCACTAAAGACATAACCTTTGAACTTATTTGAAAGGTGAAAAATTGAGAAAACGCTTACACAGGAAAATGTCGGCAGTTAAATATCCTTCTTTAGATTACTTATAATTTAGTTCGTTTTGGTAAGATACATGAATTTTTATTAAAACTGTCCTTAGTTATGCCGGTGATTTACCATCTCACAGACTCTAGGAGTTTATGATAAGGAATAACTATCTAGGAATGTTATCAGTTAGTAATCCCCCACCTCAAAGAGACAACTTAATTTGCTTGCCAACATTAAAACAACTTGTTAGAATTTTGTGGTCACTAAGGTGTAACCAATATTATGTGTCTAGTCCTTGATGTTTGTGCAGACCAGTCAGTCACTTTCGCTATACGGTCACCAAGCTACGTTGCTTGCCACTGAGGTGCAATCTGAATTGATGTTAGATGGTTGGAGGCAATCAGTAAGGAGTTTTGGATCTATCTGATTGACAGAATTCAGTCTGTACCAACACCATTAACTAGACTCATGACATTGATTATTCCGTAGTGAACAATCGATATATCCCCTACAATCCTACAGTAGGTCATTCGTGATCACGAATAACTCAGTGGTAACATCACTATCAGTATCATTAAGTTCGAATCCCAGAGGAGATATGAGTTCATTCATGGTTGCAGACACGCCTTGCTGATGAAGGCTAACAGGCATGAAACATAACTCCAGGGATTCTTACTAATTGCCATTAACCGTCTAACTTATATTAGTACACGCCTAAGACATTTCACAAATACGAAGTTAAATTAATTGGTAATCCAATGAACTAATTAGTGAACATTTGCATCAGTTTCTAAGGTTATATGCATCCATAATAATTAATAAATTATTAGTATTAACAGCGTAAGTGTTTTAAATAACATTGAATTAACAATATCAGTAGATTACACATAAATGTAAAAGTTAACGAGAAGAATATCCTTTATCCACTAGTCAGTCTGTTGAAATTTTCAATTGGCACCTATTAAATAAACGTTAAAAACCAGCTGGGAGTACTGTCCTAGTTTGGGACTTTTCAGCACTACGCACCCACCGCTAGGGTTCGAACGCAGGATCTTTTGGTAACATGGCGAGCTTGTAGACCATTAGGCCACTAGGATGGTGGCATAGCGGTTAGGATGATAGCCGATCATGCACATGGTCCGGGGTTTGAACCTCGGCCGATGCACTCCTTTACCTCGGTAAGCCAGAAATAATGCTGGTAAAGAGGAAAGGTTGGGCAATAGGCTAGCAACCCCATCCTGTAAAATAAACACTGCTGCAGAAACTTCTAGCCATAAGCTTGAAGCCCTAAGTTCCACTGGGGAAAGTGAAGGACAAAAAAAATAAACGTTATGTCTGGATAAACAAATATTTGAATAAAGCAAGAACAACAGTGGTTTGTGCAGAATAATATGGTATCATCATTGTTTATTTCGTTGGCTTCTCATCAGCTGCTGCTTGCAGCCTAAAGAAATTATGAGGTTTATGTACAGAAGCGTTTTGACATACTTGCAAGTGTTTTTCATGATGTCAGTTGAGAGAAGGCTCCTCAATTAGTGAACAGTGCTCAGAATATTGCGCTTATATAGTTTTCACATAGGCAGTTCCAGTTTAAACAAAAATAAATGTATGCATACAATGGTAAAGAAGTTAGTTACGTAATAAAGACGAGAGATGCGTAAAATGCTGAGTGACTAATAAATTAGGTAACAGTGCACTGAGTTCAACTCAAATCATAGAAACCAGAGAGAGCCAAAATTACACTATACCAAAAGGGTGAGGTTAAAGCCAAAGATTACGTAATCAGATGAGAGAAAGAATAAAGACATCCAGTTACCAGGCAGGGTAAGGAAAGACTAATAACTGCTTCTTTCTGAACAAATAAATCCGGTTTCAAGCGTTTGATAGAAATTGCTTCGGCAAACTTGAGGAGAATCGAGCTCTTTTTCTATTGATAATTTTAAAGGATTTCGTGATTTCCACCTCATGACCTGTATCGAGGAGATGTCTAATAATAGCGCTATTATTAGAGTTTGTTCCATTGAGACGCAGGCTTTTCGGCATATGTTCAGAAAATCGGAGGTGTGCCCTTCTTTCTGTTCTCCCAATGTTGTATCTGCTCTCGCAGATACACGTAAATTTGTATACACAGTTGAAGTTAACATGAGAAGGGTATCTGTTTCACTGCAGATTTCATCAATAACCAGCTGTATCCTTCTAGCTTGGAATTCTTCAGCATTTTGATGCATTCGCAACTCAAAGTTCCTAGGTCCAATTCCTGTTAAAATCGTAATGTCAGTCCATATTCTAAAGTAAAACCAGTTAATTTTGATGAGAACCAATACTTGAAAACAGATGGGTAAAATGAGTATCCTTCTTTCAACAGTGAATTACTGCCAATTACATCCATCATCAGTTATTGAGTGAATATATGGTCAGCAGAAAAGAGAAGTGATTCATATTTTAGTGGCTAGAACACACGACATGTCCTATTTGAGACTTATCAGCTACATATACTTGCTACTAAGTGTGTAGTGGCATTCCTACTGAGATCTGACTGTCGGTCTCATTCATCGCTTCAAACACCATAGCGTTATCCACTAGGCTAGTGAGGTTTGAGAATCCCCTGTTGTGCAACTTGAAATTGGATGGAGGATTTCATCATGAGCTGACATCAGTTAGAGAACCAATGGAAAACCAGCTGAACGTACTGGACAGCTGTTTCGTCCCACTTAGTTTGGGACTATTCGGCAGTTCGCACCTTCCGCCACGGTTTGAACCAAGGACCTTCTGGGTAGAAGGCGAGCTAGCTCATAGACCACTGAGCCACTGGGACCTGATCGAATGGTCAGCCTATGAATTCTAACTTCTACCAATTCACGACATATTTGTGATTACCTATTGACATATCTAACCTCATTGATCAGTTTCACTTTCGGTTATTGGGATCCCTGAACGGATGCCTCACTATAACCAGGATGAAGAATAAAAGGAAGACGAAACTGATAATCTCAGTTAGATACGGTTAAATAGACTCCAGTGCTCACAAAGAAAAGAAATAACAATCTACACTGGAATCCTTTCTTATCTATCTGTATTGTAGAGTGGATTCTCTCACACACACACACACACACACACAGAGAATGTAACGCAGTGTATCAGGCAGAATCTAGTAATGTCTATTATCGTTAAAATGAATAATTTCAATGATTCCTATCACTATTCTTGAGAATTGGATTTAACCAATTTCACTAATTTTTGTTTTAATTATCCATTTTCTTCTTTTCAATCATTCAATGTAGACCTCCTACAGGGAAATTTAAAATCATAAGAAAAAGATTTCTTAAATTTCACTTCTTTAGTTAGAATAGACAGGAATAATGATGATAATAATAATAATAATTAATGACTAGCAAATTTTGAAGTAAAAAATCAGCTATAAAGAACAGATGTTATATGTAATAGACTTCACTGAGAGGAAATAAAAAGGAGTTAGTTAGTGAAAAAATTGATGGTCATCTTAGGGAACTGTATGATTCGGACTACCATGGATATACTCTGGTGTATACTACTTAGGTTAATGGATTTAAGTAGTGTGTAGTGTGTGATAAGTTCTATTAAAGTCACTGTAGAAGGAAAGTAGCAAAGAGGATTGAAAATTTGCGGAAAACTGAACAAGCTACTGCTGCCTGCAGACAGAGACGTTACAACTGAGCTATTCGGGCTCGCGACTGACGCAGGTTCAAATCTGAAGGTTGCAAAAACGCCTTGCTGACTGGTGAGTGCCAACTAGCACGAAACCTAGGTCAAGCCAGGCTTCCTGTGTCCAACTGCCCCCAACCATCTAATATCATCAAATCAATGTACACCATGATGGTGAACTACCTAGAATGGTGGCCACATTGCAAACCTGACTGATAGAATTCAGTCTGCACCAAATAGCAAGGACTAGACACGTCACACTAGTTACTAGTGTCCAATCAATAATAACTTCTATCAAAAATTTAAAACAAACTATCTTGACAATGTTATCGGGCAGCTATACACTAAAAAAGTATCTCAGGTACAGAATAAATACTGAGAATCAATAAGAATATTCCCGACGAGATGAAATTAAAACTCTGTCTTCAAGAGTCAAACAGAATAAAACACGTCTTCCAGGGAACTAAAGTCCAAAGTTGACCAGTCAATCCACGGTATAAACTTAACGTCACCCAGACAAAATCCCAGTTGTAATGCAACTTACTGATATTAAAACCATCACAAAAAACAGCATTGCAAATAAAGATCAACCAGGAACAAAGATAAATAAAAAGGATTAGGTCAGAAGGAGATATGTATATGCCAGGGTGCCAGTCCTAATGACTACCAATAGTGTAAACGGATTTTGAATGGAGGGACTTTCAGATCAATTGTTCTGCTACAAACCGATGCTTGAATATAAGTAAGATGCTCAATAGCGACTGGCCCTATTCAGGTAGGTAGTTTCACCTGGAGTTCTAGTGGGAAGTCGTGACTAGTAGGGTGCAGCACGTCGGGTGTGAGGACAAATACTCACTGAAGACATTGGCTAGCAGTTGCGCTGTCAAGAATTGGTAGAAGTTAGAATCCATAGGCTGGTCATTCGACTGGGCCCCAGTGGCTTAATGGTCTTCGAGCTAGGTCGCCTTGTAACCAAGAGGTCCTGGGTTCGAACCGTGGCGGTGGATGCGTACTTCTGAATAGTCCCAAACTAGGCTGGCGAAACCCCTTTCCAGTACTCGCAACTGGTTTTCCGATGGTTCTCTAAATGATGTCAGCTCATGATGAAATCCAGTAACCAATCAATCAAATCCCTATAAACCAATACTTGAATATATCTAAATTGTTATTTGTATAATATCTTGACATGCCTTTTTCTTGTGTTTTTTTTTCATTCTTCAGAAACTGTTACAATCCATTTAGACTGTAATATGACAGTGGATGAAGTTGCACTTGGTTTATCCCTACAAACTTTGACTCCATTTCGATTTTCATGTAATCGTTTATTATTACAGCGATTACCAGAAATTAATTTTCCACCGTATAGTTTAATCAGATTATTTGATCCATTGGTAAGTTCTGATATTTGATTATCTTTCATTTTTGGTACTTTTTATATAAAGAAGGGTGAAAAAAGTTACAGTATTGCCTGTTACCTTTTGAATGACATCTAGCTTACCCGTCAGAAGATTTATAGAAAGTGTCTATAAAATTTTTCAAATAACAGGGAAGATTTGAAGTCGAGGTGGGTGGTTTTGACGCGGCTAAGTTCTCTTAGATGTGAAGTTTAATTGCGAAACTTTCACCATCTTTCTCGACGCAACATGTTCAGCTCAAATTGCAATATGAAGTAAAGTTATTCGAATTCTTCATGAGTGATATAATTATATTTCCATACCACCTTTGTCGTGATTGAGTGTTAATTTGCATCAGTAATGATCATTTTTATTGACTTGGAATTTAACCCCTTTTGTCAGAAGATCACAAGATCAATATCAATATACAAAGTATGCGTCTCCTTCGACTTCGAGTCCAAGAAAATAAACTAAACGTCAAAAGAAACGACATATGTTCTTTCACATGGATGTGTGTAGACAATTATAGATAGCAGTTGGGAAATTCAAGACATTTTAAATAGTAGAAGCAACAAAAACGACAAGAAATTTCAAGAGGCTCCAGCAGTGAGGCAAATGAGTGGTCAACAGTCACATTACTATGGTTCGAATATACCAGATAATAAGGAATAAGTACAATGACAAAACAAGGTACCTAACCTGTCAAATGCTCTGATGGTGTTCTCGTGACTTTTGCCAGATTCACCAAGGGTAACAGGATAATAGGTGACCTAATGGTTGTGTGCAAGGTTTGAAGAAGACTGTGTGCTTTATGCATGCTCTTCGCCCTGATAATTCTTGTGCGCCGGTGGCACAGTGGGATGTATGCGGTCCGGGGTTCAGTCCCAGGCCGACGAACCCCCGAACCTCGCAAAGCCGGTAATGAGAGCGGTAAAGAGGGAAGGTCGGGCATGAGGCTAGTAACCCTAACTCGTAAAAATAAACGCCACCGCTACCGAAACTTCAAAGCTGTAGCTTGAAGCCCTACGTTCCACTAGGAACGTAAAGGAATAAAAAAAATTATGACAAAACAGTTAACCTTACTTTTATTGTTCCCTTGAGTTCCTGTTGGAACTTTAGGCTTCTTCAGAAACTCTGCATCTCATGCCTAACTCCATCCCGAAGTTGACTAAACGCCAATAAAACCTCCTCCACGTCACCCTCAGACATACGTCTAACTCACTGTGTCCCATTTAAGTTCCACTTGAAGGCTTGCTTATTGTGTGATGTAACCTGATTATCTCCTCAGCTTCTGCCCATTCCCTCTCCGTTTTCTTCTGCATGTCTGTTGTGCAGTAGGCTTATGGATGGTTCGTTGCCAGAGTTCCCCGTTGCTTATCTTTTCCAGTAGGTCATCTGATATCCAGGAATAAGCTGCTAAAGAAAGGAGCTGATGAAGGTCTTCACTAGCATGTTGAAAATGTACTTTACGACGCAAGTGCCATATCGATGAATCATATAGAATTAATGATTTCAAGCTTGTTTTAGAATCTCAGATCTTATTCCATGTACTGAGTGCAACAGATTTCCATGCTGCTTTCAGAGTAGTGTCTGTTTGTCTTGCTTTTCCGATCCTACCTTTGACTTTTCGTTAATTGATGCTATTTTCTAATGATAATTTACAGATTTATCTACAGATATATATGTTTATTTTATATATTGTAGTCAATTACACAGTTCGAACTAGAAGATCCTACAATCGGAAGTAGTATAGCTGTTGTCCTACCATCTGCAGTTGGTTGGTTAATTAGTTTACGTAATTTACGAGCATGTTCATTACCATCGTGTATCCCACCTCCACCGGATGTTATACCGACTACACCGAATTCAACATCAACATCAACACTTATCTCAACTTCACATATTGGCAGTGTACAGTCTCCTTCAAATCTTTCTTCTTCTTCTCCACAGTCTAATGCCGGTTCATCATCATCGCCATCCCCTTCGTCATCGTCGAATGTTATCAACAGCTCTGGAAGTAGTAGCAGTCAAAGTTCTCCGACGGTAAACAACACAACGAACAGTAGTCATCCATTACAAAACTTTACAACTCCAGCATTCACATCAACCGTGGCTGCTTGTCGTCTGTTGAATAGAGCACTTGTATCATTAAGATATTTACAAAGACTTGGATTAGCTAGGTGTCATTTAACTGGACAATTGAAAACTCTTCTAGGCGGATTAAGTCAACCACTGGAATATTTAAATTTACAGGTAAGACTGGTGAATGTTACTTAAACAGAAGTTAACTTTTTATTTTGTATGTTTTTGTAAATGAGGAACGTTGTTTTCTTCCGTTTCTGTTTTGTTACCACTTGGCACTATTTTAAACAATGAAGCATGCCAACACCAAATAAAGATATCTAGACAAAAGTTTCTTGAAAATGAGTGATACATCCCTGAAATTTCATAAAGTACGATGTACAAAAACTCTGGTTTATACAGTGTATGTCTTCATGAAGGTCCTATAGGTTTAACTTAATCAGACGGCGGTCACAGGTTGCTCACTTGGTCCAATGGATAGTTCTTTTGCTTCTGAAACGATTCGTGCAAGGTGCAAGCACCGGCGGGAAAACTATCATCACCCACTAGGAATACAGATACATCCAGCTGACAAGTCCCGCAGAGGATGAAACACACACATCTTAGTTTCCAGTGTTATTCACCAGCAACCAAACTAACCGGTGAACAGATTGTTTGTTGTTTCGAGATATAAGATAATTTGTAACACTGGCTTTTATCGATCAGAATTTATAGTGTCTTTTATAATCCATATGTAACGGCAGAACAGGGTAGTATTTGTTAGCAAAATTGTGCATTTTTTGGGCTAATCATGGACAGTGAACGCAAACTTCAGAAGCCTTACACTATTATCTGCATTGGTTAATGTTCTTCGTGTTCTACTTCCCTTGTCTTCCGTTTCATGTTATCTATATTATTTCCCAAGGATATTTTATTTCTCCTCTTTGCAACTTAATAAACCGCTTTGCTATTCAATACTCTTGCAGAAGACATTACACACACTACAGACTACTAACGAGATCTTGTTATTACTACAGGCCACAAACACAGATATGTTATCTATTCTGAATTATTTTTTGTCAGTAAGCTTTCTATGAACATTGGTTTCTCAGAATCTGCCCTCCAGCTGTTACGTCATCATCGTGGGTAAGAATCATGCCGACGATACTTCTATTATTTTTGTCCTAACTGCCTGTAATATTTAAATCTAGTTTAAAGAACTTGTCGCTGCGTAACAGTTGCAAAATGGAGAGTTTTGTGTATTTGAGCTAGTTATATAGAATACAAAATAATTGAGCAAAGAATATTCTTTTCGATAATTTCCTCTTCTGGCTCTACAATAATATATGCATGTTTATATACATAGAATACTCTAGAATAGTAGTCAATAACAATATTAGTGTTTTCTAAATAATACCGATTTGTAAAGTAAGATCAATGGAGTTACAGTTCATTAAAGATGCTTAAAGTATAGTAATAATAGAAATATAATAGCAAATAGAATATCAACTAAAATTAAGGAAATTTCTACAAAAAATTGAGGATCTTTCGAACCTAGATGGCCAAGGTGAGGACAATATCTGAACTAGCGACTTTTCGGACACATTAATTGGACTTCTTAATGTGGTTCTCAACGGCCAACCTCAGCAATATTTAGTAAACGAACTCTTAAGACAAAGTTAAGATTTGTTGACATGTGGCAAATGACTTTGAAAGGTGCCTCGTTGAAATCAATCTTGTGTTCTGTATCCTCAAGATGAGATAGAATAGCACTACGGATAGACCGTTTCTCCTTTACTTAACCACGCAGGGTATTGTTCGGAAATCCGACGAGAAACACGGCCTATGTAACTGGCTCACTCCACAGGAGCAGTTAAATCGGTAGATATACATGAAAGAGGCGAAATTAGGCAGTTTATCTTTTACTACCGAATGCGAAGTAGGGGGTGTGTGGTTTTGAAGACACAGCGTAATTCAGCAACAGGGAATGCTCATTTTACTGCATTTCTCAGGCGTTGTGTTAGTATCTCGCTGATGTTGTCCCCAAGCAACTGAATTTGTAAGAATAAGGCCTTTTTAGGAACTGTTAGTACCTTGGTCTGCTTTGATTTTAGATTCATATTCTTATCGATATACTTTTCTGGATAACCATTTTCACTCAGCAACCGTTTAATATTATTAAGTTCCTCACTAAGACATATATATACATAATTACTGTATGCATATATTGATTGATTGATTGATTTTTGTTTAAAATGAACTCTGTGTAAGTTTGTTAAAATTGTTTCTGTAGATATATTTAATAATAACTTTGGCCTGTAAGCAGCTGAGCTGATGAGAAGCCAACGAAATAAATGATGGTACCACTTTATTCTGCAAAAAGTGTAGTTCTTGCTTTATTCAAATTCCTTTTTCTTAGGTTAATTTCATCAGCCTGGAGATTTGATGTGATCTGAATTTTTGTTATGGCTAAGTGTGTTCATTACCTTCGAGAAAATACATTTTATCACCTTGTTTCAGATATTTCGAACAACAGTGTACTAATTCTCTTCTTTCCTATCTCTCTTTCTACTATATTTCAGGATTGCTGTCTTGCTTCTGAAGATATTCATTATCTGGTACATCAATGGCGTCCATTGCATGGTTTATATGAATTAAATCTATCACGTAATAATTTATCAGTTGTACCAGAAGAGACATTATATGAACTTGTACAGAATGTTTGTCTTAAACCAAGAGGTCGTTTAGTCTGTTTATCTATCGCATATACATGTTTATCAACTGAAAGAATAATTAATTTACTCAGTTTAATGGCTGGAATGGATCCATCACAGGTAAGCGAAACTATCCACTGTATCTTCTCCTATTATTATTATTATTATTATAATTTCCTTCAGTGGGACATCTTGGTCCCTTGCCCACATTTTCAAAGGGCTTCAAATTCTGCTCAAATTAGCTTCTGTATATCCCCTCAGATGCTCAGCTCGGCACTTCCCATACAGGTTTCCACTCAAGATTCTGACTGGCGTATGTTAAGTCCATCTCGATTTCCTTCTACATGGCCACTGGGCATGGGCTTGTTGTTAGCTGGTTCACTACACTACCAGAGTTCCCTGTTCATTCGTCCTCTATAGGCGGCTTTCTAGTGTAACGACAGAAGGCAAGGGCCAGGCAACAGATCATTTATTAAGGAAATCAACACATATTTATATATTTTCATGTACATTACTATGGATATTTAAGCAAACAAACACAGTCTTCCGATTGGTTGTTTCTCACGTAAAGTTAATCTTTCATCTATTTGTGACTGTTTCTTGAATGTCAAATCCTCTATATGTTAACTGCATCCACCTACGCAAAGTCTGCTGTGGTCGGTTTTGAATCAATCTTTGTTCACATTTTCTCACGACAAATCTTGGGAACGTAAATATTGACGTAAATTACTGTCTACCAACTTGGCTAGTAGACAGCTCTCACCACACTAGTCTTCATTAATTCTGATAAAATTCTTATCTCCATTCGTTATCAGTTTAAAGGTAATTTAGGGTTAATCACTCTCCTGTAGGTGCGGTAAATACTTGACTCACTGAATTCAGTCGCACCAAACGAAGGATTAGATACACGACATCGGTTAGTACCTAATGTCTGATAAAAGCATCCCTTACAGTACTAAAAGAGATCGACTGCCAGTGATAAGTCTCTAACTGCAACACTGAGTGAACACTTCAATCACCACTTCAACCTTTTGGTGGCTGAAAGTAGGTTGACGTTCACGAGGCGTTTAACCTACAAGAATTTATTATACTTTAAAAGCCAACCAAGTCTAACTAAGTATTATTAAGACAAATGGGGTGTTTTATCTGAACTATGATTTCGTCATAGCCATTTTGGGTCAGAATTTGAATAAAACTCCCTTTTAAAAATTATTAAAGAGAAATGCTATGTATGAAGTAACCTTTATTGGTAGAACGTTTTGGACTGAGTGACAGAATAATTCGTTGGGAAGACCCGTTGGGTTTCGCAGTGACATGCCTTCTTTCTCCAACATCTTTTTCTAACATTCCACTTACTTTACTAAGTGTGATTTATTGTGTTTTTTTCTAAATATTAAAGACAAAATTATTTCAGTGGATTAAATAATAACGCACATAGAGAAGAAATAAACACTCCCGATGTGTATATTGATCTCCGGCTAACTGGTGGCTACTGGGTGGATGTCTTCAATGATATGATTCAAAGTTTGAGGCCAGTGGAATCCGCCATGCCACTGGTTGGCAATAGTGGTATACTTCGAGATGAAAGAAATTAGAATTCATAGGATGTTAAATTACACCTGGTGTGACTGAACAGTTGACAAGTTGGCCTTGTAACCTTAAGATCTTAGGTTGCACTTCTGGTAGGGTTGACGATGAACATTGCCGAAGAGCCCAAACGTAAGAAGAAATAGCCATCCATCGCCCTACAGTTCTCATTGGTTCTCTAACTGATGATGTTTAGTGACGATGTCTACATTCGAAGATACTTGTGATATGCTACATTAGAAAAGTTTATGTAATAGCCTATTTTACAGAATTAAAATTAAAGCTACAGCCTTAACTAACCAACAGCAAGTACTGACTACTATCAACAAGAGAAATTCAAAGGAAGTCAGGGCTTTTACTTATCTGGACAGTACCCTTTCAACTACAGGTAGTAGGGATGAAAATATCAAAGACAAGCTCAGAAGAGCAAGATGTACCTTCGTTATCCTGAAAACAATATGGAACACTAATTTCAAGTCAATCAGTGCTTCTAGACAGTTCAGAGATTTGAAGCATGAGTTACTAAAAGCATATCCAATGGGCTACTGAAAACTTTCATCAGAATCTGCCTTTGCTCTATGCCGAAGGTCAGAAATCCAGAATGAATTAACAAAAGGGAGCTCTGGAAATCATCCACGAATCTATATACAAAGGGAAATATATATGAATTTGACACACACCGAGGAGACCACTGAGGTTATATCATACCTTGGGCTATCTATTATAACCTAAATGAGAAATGACCAAGTGAGCATGAATCCGAGGGTGACATGGAGGGGACTGTGAGGTGTGGCGATAAAGGCTCATGGACAGTCATGGAATCAGCTATAAGGGAAATGTGCCTCTGAAGCGCTATTGTTTCACTTGAAGCGCAAAAGAATAGTAATATATAATAGTAAAAACCTGGGGATATTTGCTTAAGAGACTGGCGTTTAAAGCAGATACATACAGAATAAAATTAGTTGTTCAAACTCCATCTACCAGTAGTTGGCAATTACTGTTATTCTTTATACTGTTATCCTTATCTACCACAGAGTTAGTTTATATGTAACCCTAAAATTTGTCTTTAGTTGACAAGGATAAGAAAAACACCGTTATTCACTAATATCATTTTTAACTTCTCGCTGGTCATATATACTAGATTGAAATGATCATACTCCTTTGACATATCCAAATCTAGTATGGAGGCGCCCGAAATGCCTTCAAATAAACTTGATACTATTTTGTTGGTCGCAGCCAGCAATGGAATTAAGAAAAGATTTAAGAAGACTGATTTTTGGTTTTCTTCTTATGGGTCACCCTGTCTCCTGCTGTGATGGATGTACATTCAGTTGAAAAGCTCGAAATAGGAAGAAACGCTCTTCCTAGATGCCATAAATAACTATTATGAACTGAATAAAAAAGGAATTTACATAGAAAATTCTCATCATTCTTCAGTTTCACTCTAAGACGGTAGACATTATGAGATGATAGCTGGAAAATGACTTCGGATTGGCTCTGTTTCAAGAAAATATCGAACAACGGAATATATTTAGCCAACTATAAGAACATTTTTGATCATACTTTGCCTACTTAAACATTTTTCAGTAGCATAAGAATTGTAACAGTTGTTTCAAAAAGATGATAAGATGTAATTTATCAGAATCGTGTACTGTATTTGTAGAACACATTTCGAACAGACTGATCACTCACGTTCCTGTCACAGTAACCTATATGAAAAAGTAATAAAGCGTCAAGGAATGAGAAAGTAGACACATATCGATTTAAGAGGCTTTATTGAAGGTCAAAAAAACAATGGAGGTCAATGAAGCGTCTATCCTGCTTTGGAAACAAAGTTTATCAAGGAAGGTTTAATGTGATGTCAAATTGTTTTTGTCAAGTAATGGTTTGTAAATATTTCGTCTGATTGGTTGGAGGATTTCATCGTGCGCTGGTATCTGTTAAAAAACCAGGGAGTACTGGACAGCTGTTTCGTTCTAGTTTGAGACTCATTTGTAATACACACCCAACCACGAGGGTTTCGAACCCAGGACATTCTGGTTACAAGGCGAACTAGTAGACCATTGGTCATGTTTTCGAACACATTAAGGTGGTTTAAATTTCCCAATCTCTACAGGTACGTCTGTTATGACTGATAATAACAACAAGCAGATTATTCACATTTACAATGTCAACCAGCACAATAACAATGTCCCCATACGAGAAATAAAACAGAAGATAAGAGCTTTCACTGTCTCAACTATAATATTACAGTCCATTAAATATTCCAAAACTGTCGTGAGAGAAGTTGAATATGTACTGTTTACATTATCCTCACATCACTAAGACCAACGATAATTTCATAGGGTTAACAGCCTACTCGCTGTGATCTAAGAGCAGGAAACTGATCTCTAAGTCCTACCGTATACCCGATAAATCTTCTTTGAGGAACGCGCAGTCACAAAATGTTCCACAAACAGCAAAAAAAGGGGATTACTCTTCCATAAATCTGTCGTTCTGTTCAACGATAATAATATCAAAGACTCAAAATTACCTCAACAGTGCCGTTATACAAATATACAATCTAGCCAATTTTCTAAGTACAAAACGAGTACTTAGAATCAAGTAGAATATTCCCCAAAAATTAGGATCAAAAACCCTGCCCAGAAGAATCACACACCACAGCTTCTAGCAAACTGTCCAAGGTCAGAATGACCTCCATTCACAGAGATGAAATCCCACAGTACAACATATTATCAGTGTAAACTCAACCATGGAGAGAAGCATTAAAATCAGAGAACAAACAGGAACAAAGACAAGTAATAAGAATCAGATCAACAGGTGACATGCAAACGTTCAAGTAACCACATACAGTCTGGGAGAAAGATGGATAGTAACTGCAGAGTTACTTTGTAATTAGATCGTCCATGAGAGATTTTCCTAACAATTATTCTATTACATAAGGGAGCACAAACAATGCGGGGAAACAACAAAATAAGTTGTTACGTTGCTAAGCGAAGATTACAGGTATACAACAGAGAATTAAGGGCATATAACAACAAAACTAGTGGTATATAACAACACTGCCACCAAACACGTTTTATAGAAAGAGTTAAAAGAAGTCTAAACATCAATTTTATAACTGATTAAAAATGCCCATTAAATTTTGCAAAAGAATGGATACTGAACAAAGAATATTCTTTTCGATAACTTCATCATCAGGTTCTACAGTTATATATACATTATAGTGAATGAATGAATTAGTGTTATGAACAACATTAATGTTGTTTAAATAACATCGAATCAATAATATCAATAGATTACAGCTCAATAGCATCAACATAAAATAAGCTGAATGTCAGAAAAATTAAGAAAGATAATAATACAAATATATGAATTTATAGTCTCTACTGAAGGCCTGTCAGGGCAGTGGTAGGGGCTGAACTTGCTTCTTTTGAACACAGAGCACTGGTTGTTTGAGGCGAATTGCAATAGCCTCTGCTGCTTGGAGCATGCGGTGCTTCGATGATTTTGGCAATTTATTAGGCACCTGGTAGATGATAGAGAAGGATTCTTCAATGCTGGTTGACTTTGTGGCCGGTTTGCACCAGATGGTCCAATACCGAACTGTGAATGGTTTTAACTACACCTTTACTTAGGCATACTCGGAGATGTTCTCGAGTGAGCACGAAAAATCAAGTTCCTAGAGCAATGGTCAATATAACTCGTCCCACAAGCGCAGTTGAAGTGCCTATTCTAGTCTAGGTACTTCATCTTTCAGTCGAGGTAACACCGTCGGTCGTGTAGAGAATAAGACATGCAGTTTGCCAGCATTAAAAGTTATTTGAACTGATTTTCTTAATTTCCTCGTAATTATCCCACTTGGTATATCGCCCTTGAATTACATTCGTATATATAAAGAGGCTTCTTGTACATAGATAGTGGGTAGTCCTTTTCGACTTTCTTTGCCATGTGTTTCTTGATAAATTTGTCGGGATAGCCATTTTCGATCAAGGTATCATATACAATGCTTAATTCATCTTCAATTACTCCTTCTCATCATATAACTCTAACTCTGTGGCTGAGGGTTTACACCCTATAATATATCATTTATTTCATAACAGAAGAGTTAGCTAGTGTGTTTTCAGTATTAAAGTTTCAGGGGATTCAAACTGTCTCTTCATATTGTCTCATCGAAATCCATTCAAGGGAGTTAACCATTTTTAAATAATGATTTTTTTACTTTTACTTCTTTAGAATTTAAATGAAAATGATGAAGGTGATACTGATGATACTACTGCCTCAAATAATATTGATAAATGGATTGATAAAACATGTACACTACGTGTTCTATGCATTCAATCGTTTATTCCACCGGCAAGATCACAAATCCATCGAATATTATATAGAATAACACGATTACCAAAATTACACAAACTATACATCTTTCCAGCATTTTATGCATTTCCTGGTGATACAGAAATTGAACAACGTGAACTCCGCATGAATCAACTGATGCATAGTCGTAATTATCTTCGGCAACGATGTCGATCAGATATTGACATACTGTAATTCGGTGTCTGTTTTGTTTTTTGCGGAGAATCAATAATATCATGGTGACAATTAGCATTGTCTGCATCTTGTTATCATCCCTGAAGAATAAGAAACTCAAGACATTAATGAAGCAATAGAATCATTAATAGGTTCAATTTATTAGTCAAATGAATTGAAGTGCGCGCGCTCGCACACACACACCCACGCACACTAATCAAAATCATCATCGGTAATAATCACTTATATCCTGTTGTATATCTTCAGAAACATTGGACAGTGAATAAGTGATACATGTTTTATATTAGTGATCATTTCTGTTGTTGTGTTTTTGTTTTTGATTTCTTCATTTGTTTTTCATTGCGTTTTTTTCTTTTTGTATTGAAAATGATTGCTGTTCATTACAGAATAAAAATTATTATTTAAAATGTTGCATATTATTATTATTGTTCCCTTGGGTTCATAGTGGAATATAGGGCTTGAACCACACGTCTCCACTTGCTTCTGTCTTCTGCTGTACTTTTCATCTGCATCCATGTTAGTCCATACTGTTTCAACTACTCTTCACACGATCTCCTCCATGTCACCCTTGCACCGACGTCCCACTCGCCACGCGCGCGATGTCATCCAGCGGCCTCCTCAGCGAGTGTCCAATCCATCTCCACTTCCTCCTGCATACTTGTTGGGTGTTTGGTTCTTGTTTTGTTTCTTCCCATAGTTTCTTGTTGGTGATTCTTTCCGGCCATCTGATCTTCAGTATAGAGCGAAGACAGTTGTTGATAAAGGTCTACCTGAAACCTGTTGGAAACATTCTTTGTGACCCACCAAGTTTCTGATCCGTATAGCAAAACTGACTTGACGTTTGTATTGAAAATCCGAATTTTGTTGTTGAGTGTTGCTGAGTGACGAAGATTTCCAGATTGGTTTTAGGTTGATGAATGTGATTCTCGCCTTCCCGATTCTCGATTTGACATCCTCGTCCGTTCCTCCTGTAGTTGAGACAATGCTCCCTAGGTGAGTGAATGAAGTAACCTCTTTCAAATCCCTCCCGTTGATGGTGATTGGCACTGGATGTTGCTGCTGTTGTTGTTGTTGGATGGTTATTTTCATAACCTCCATCTTGTCTATGTTCACCTGCAGTCCTGTCTTCTCTGGCTGCTTCTTCGACCAGTTTGTCGGTTTTCGCTTGTAAGTCTTCGATTTTGTGTGACATCAAACATAAATCATCTGCGAAATCCAGGTCTTCTAGGTTCTTCACGTCGGTCCAGGATATCCCTGTCTTCTCGTTTCCCACTGTCTGACGCTTAATCCAGTCCACCACAATTAGGAATATCATTGGTGATAATAAGCACCCTTGTCTGACTCCTGTGTTTACTCCAAACACCTCGCTGAGTTTTCCGTTGTGGATCACTTGATATGTGCGTTGTCGTACAGCTGTTGAATAAGGTTGATGAATATTTGGGGTACGCCGTAGTACTCGAGTAGTTTCCAAATTACTTCGTGGTCAACGCTGTCGAAGGCCTTCTCAAAGTCTATAAAGTTGAGGTAGAGGTTTGATTGCCATATTATATACATACCAAAAAGCAAAATGAAGTATTTGTCATTGAATCTCTGGTTTAAGGAATAAAATATTTTTTATGAAGATTATATAGTGAATTTAAATTGAATATTTTAGAATTCAACTGAGGAAATTATAAATCCACTTATGGTATACAGTGCATACTACCTTTCAGGCAAAGTTCAACAATGGCACTGCCAGGAGTGCGAACGCTCCAATGACCTTGAACGCATGCCAGTCATTGGCTAACGGCACCTGTTATTATGATAGCTGAAATATCAACGCTATTCACCAAACTAAGGAGCAAATTTCACCCAGATCACGTTTTTAAGTACTGTTTAGACAATGCGTTAATAGCTCGTTAGGGCTAATATCAGGGTTATAATTAGGATTAGGGTTAGGTCTACGGTTAGGATAAGGGCTGTAATTAGTGTTAGGATTAAGGTTAGGCTTAGTGTTAAGTTCAAGGTTAGAGTCAGGATTAAGGTTAGGGTTACTATTATGAATAGATTTAGAGTTGATGACATTTATTTTAATTTGTTTACTCATTCACATTTCCCTGGTAAGTAATCGTCAATCCTCTTACTGGAAACCATGGTAATTCAACCGAGGGCTTTTGGGGAAGACTACGCAACTGTATAAGAGAGATAAACAATTCATAAAAATAGCTCATCTTTAGTTACCTTGGTGAATAGATGCACAGAAACTAGTCTAACTTAGCAACTGATACTTTTGATTTTAACTTGGACGTTTTTTAAGTCATGTCAGAGAAAGATAACCTGTTTAATGTGTTTTCGAGCATTTTCTTGTCAATATACATCATTTTTTCTGCAAAAGTTCCTCATTTTTATGACAGGTCGGCTGAAGGTCACTCGTGCATTCACACCCCTGGGACGCTATTGTTGAACTTTGCCATCTTTCACGTAGTTACGTTGATGTTTTCAATGATTAGGTTGTAGGAATTCGATTGACTTGATGTGAGATTTCCCTGCGAACTGATATCTCTTAAGGAAATATTGTTTGCCCTGGTTGGGGACACTTCGTCAGCGTGCAGCCATGAACTAATCGGGACTCGGAAGTGTTGACCAGTCAGCTATTGTGATCGAATTCATTGACGGTCTGATTAAATCATTACTATTATCTATATTATTATTCTTTTGGGTTCCAAGTGGAACATACGGAACATAAACAGCACATTCGCAGTTCATCCTGTACTCTGAAGTCCTCTGAAGCTGGCTCTATAATTGCTGGTTAGCTGTCATCTCCTCTTCACATGACCTTTCCCAAGTCGCTCTCGAACCCACGACACACTCGTCGTCTCCCATTTAGGTTCTTGATCAGGTCGTTCCAAAGATTCCTGTTGCTAATTGTTTCTAGCTGGCCATCTGACCTTCAATATGGAACCAATGATGAAGGCAGTTGTTGATAAAAGTCTGCAGTCACCTGTTGGGAATGCTTCCCACGACTCGTATGCCAAATATCTGACCCACATAGAAAAACTGACTGACTTAACATTGGTGTTGAAAATGCAAGCTTTGTTTTTAATGCTGAGGAGTGCAACAGATTTGCAAAGTGATTTCAGAGCTATGAAGGTCTGTCTTGCCATTGTGATTCTGCTTTTGACACCCTCCTCAGTGTTCTTGCCTGTGGTTGAAAAAAACGGTGCCTAGATAAGTGAAGTGAGTGACCTATTCAAAATTTCCCCTGCTGATAGTGATTGGTGCTCGTTGTTGTTATTGTGGTTATTTGCTGGGTTGTCTTCGTCGCCACCGCCTTCTCTATGTTCACTTGAAGTCCTGTCCTTGATGTTTCTTTAGTCAACTTGTTAGTTTCCACCTGCAGATCTTTTAGTTTATGTGACATAAGCCAAGTCGTTCACGAAGTCCAATTCAGTATTAGGCTACTGAATTTACTCGGAATGACATTGAGAGCTTAGAAAATAGATCCTCAAAACTTACAGAAAGCAACATTGACAAATAGTAACTTACCCACGAAGTATAAAGTTTCGTATTTATCTCTTTAAGTTTGAATCTAATATGGAAAACAAATGTTATGAAGATCTCAGATACCTCCAGCAATGGAAAGTATCCTCAAGCAGCGAATATAAGTCGAACTGCGTGTCCTTTGCTTTGCATACTGTATTTGCAATCCTAACAACCATTTGAAAGGGGACATATTTAAATAGATGTTGAAGTACATTCGACAACAGGTATCACCTTATCAAAAAAAATCAAGGCAACATCAGCTACTGTGGCTTCGGTTTAGTAGAATGTAGGGCTTCAACACTAAGTCCATTATAGATAAGATTTGATTTTGATAAAATCAGACAGTATTATACAGTAATATTAACTGATGACCAAGTTTCGAGTACAATTTATTACTGCTCATAATCATATCAAGTTACTCACACTATTTTTCACTTCATTTATATACATGAGTGGAATCGATTAGATATTGGAAAAAAATCAATATGAAATAATGTGCATTCAGAAGTAGGGGTATTCCTGAAACCTACTATTGGTCGTATGGGGTAATCAGGTTTATGTATTTTAAAAGTACCACATTTTCCATAAGCATCATTAGCCTTAGGCATTAAATTGAACCATTTAGACTCACCCAGTGACGGCTTCATTCTGCGTATTGAATCCGCTGTAGGTTTTTTTAACCTTATTCATTACTACCACTATATATCTACAGGCTTCTTCATTTCCTCATATGCACCGGTCTCAATATGTTCAGTGGCTTTCTTCATATAGTCAGCTTTATCCAAAACTACTGTAGAGTTTCCTTTATCAGTAGGTGGAGAGAGAGGTTTATTGCTGATTCTTTTTGTTCATCGAGTCTACACCAAACATGTGCAATAGGAATGACTCATCACTCATACGGGAAATATGGAAAATACTACTACCAATCAAATCAAGCGATGGAAAATAATGGAATTATATAAACGAAGTTAGAAAGTTGTGTGAGTACCTTGATATGATTATGGGCTATCAGTATGATGAAATCTCATTGACTGGGTGTTTGATTAATGTAGAGGCAATCAATATCCGCAATATTTAAATTCTGACTGACAGACTATCAAGCTGGTCTGAAATTACACATAAGAAGACCGATTATCAGTAGTGTGCTGGCATTGTGCCAGTCTGAAATAATAAAAGATTTTGTCATCCTCGATTACTTCATCTTCTTGCATAAAGCTCTGTTTCATTTCTTTCAGGAGTCGCTAAAACTGCGCACTTCTGTTCCTTTAGTGTTTTGTTCAATAATATTCAGTAGTATGTTCAAAAGTATAATCAGCTTTCGGTTAATGGCAGCTTCTGAGTTTTGACGATGCAACTGATTGTAATGACGAGTCCTTAGATTACTGTCAACTTTCAAACTGTAGACAATTTGGCCTCGTCATGCCATGATATAACCTTCATTACAAACATTGTCCTGGTCGATAATCTCTGATGCAGAT